GATGCTTGTGGGGGGAGAGTGGAGTGGCAGGGGTTCCAATACATCTGCTCAGCTCTATCCTGCCAAATGCTAATTTTTTCAGTAGGAAGCAGTCTCATGATAAGTAAGTTCCTTGGGACAGAAATTTCTGGTACAGTGCCCAGCACAGTGTGGCCCCAATCCTGACTGTGGTCTCTGGGTCCTGCTATGATAATAAAAAACATCTGTGCTCTCTCTCTTTCTCTGTCTGGGACCCAGAATTTCATCTTTAAAACAACTGGCTATAAATGCAGCCCTTGCTTATCCCAATCTCTTCCAGGCAAATAAACAAGCTGGCATCCTTGATGTCTTTCCAAGCTCGGACACATTGTAGGAAGAGCCAGTGGTTCTCCAGGTCTTCTGCACCAGGCAGACACAGCTGTTTGTTTACAGTGAGAGAGAGGGAAAGTGAAGATTAAATGCAGGCATCAGGACTTCCAGGTTTTGTTCCCAGTTCTGGAGCAGATGTGATGTCTGATAGTTACAGCAGAGAACGGAGTCAGCCAGGATTCCTGGATCTTATACCTTAGTGTGGGAGACAGTGTGATCAGGAGATCACAGGAGATCAAGAGCCAGGATTCCTGGGTTCTGTTGTCAGCTCTGGGAGGGATGTGTTTCTGGTAGGTAGGGCTCAGGAATGGGAGTGAGGACCCATGGATTTGTCAAGAACAAATCACGCCAAACCAAACGAATTTCCGGCTTTGACGAGGTTACTGGCCTACTGGCAAAGGGAGAAGAGGTAGATTCTGATTTTGATGCAGTCGCAACATGACTTTCTCATAAGAAAACTAGAGGAATGTGATGTGGATGAAATTACCATAAGGTGGGTGCAAAACTGGCGGAAAGATTGTACTGAAAGAGTAGTTATCAATGGTTTGCCCTCAAACCAGGAGGATGTATATAATGGGGTCCAGCAGGGATATGTCCTGAGTCCAGTGCTATTCAAAATTTTCATTGAGGGTTTGGATAATGGAGGGGAGAGTATGCTTATAAAATCTGTGGATGATACCACGCTGGGAGAAGTTGCAAGCACTTTGGAGTACAGGATTAGAATTTTAAACAACCTGGACAAATTGAAGAATTGGTCTGAAATCAACAAAAAGAAATTCAAGAAAATTAAGTGCAAAGTACTGCCCTTAGGAAGGAAAAATCAAAAGCACAATATCAAAATGGGACTAGCTGGTTAGGCAGTAGGATTGCTGAAAGGGATCTGGGGCTTTTAGTGGATCATAACTTGAACATGAGTCAACAATGTAATGTACTTGGTAAAAAGGTTATTATTTTTATTGTATTAGCAGGGGTTTTGTACAAAAGACACAGGAGGTATCTGTCCTTCTCTGTTCACCACTGGTGAGGCCTCAGCTGGAATACTGTGTACAGTTCTGGGCACCACATTTTAGGGAAGATGTGGACAAACTGGAGAAGGTCCAGAGGAGAGCCACAAAAATGAAAATCTGACCTATGAGGAAAGGTTAAAAGAAACTGGGCACGTATAACCTTGAGCAAAGAAGACTGAGGGGGGAACCCGATAACACTCTTCAAATAGGTTAAGGGCTGTTACAAAGAGGAGGGTGAACAAGTGTTCTCCACGGCCACTGAAGGTAGCACAAGAAGTAATGGGCTTACTCTGCAGCAGGGGAGATTTAGGTTAGTTATTGGGAAATACTTTCTAACTATAAGGATTGCCCAATTTATGACCTACGGATGAAAAGCGCTGTGTAAGAGGTAGGTATTATTATGGTACGGGGCACTGAAAACACACAGAGTGAGATAGAGTCCCACCGCAACGAGTTTACAACTTAAAGAGACAACAGATAGGAGGGGAAACTGAGGCACAGAGCGGCAATGTGACTGCCCAGGTCACAGGCGGAGCTGGGAATAGTGCCCCAGTCTTCTGACACCCAGTCCAGTGCTCTACTGCATAGTCCATACTGTTCTTAATCATTGGGCTATAACCCATCATCGCAGCTGTTTAATTCCTCTCCTCTATCATGAGGGTATCTCCTCCTACTGGAGGGGAATGGACTGGATGATTTAACAGGCATTCTCCATTTACGATCCTATGGTAAATAACTGTATCTTTGACTCTGCTTCCCCCTGCCTGCCGCAGCTACTTTATAGGAAAACTTTAATCACGGAACAACGGGCAGCGTGTTAGAAAAAGCCATGGGGACAGATGGCTTAGCAGTCAAGTGACGTGGCACTCCTTAGGTGAAACGACCACGCAGTCCATTGTTCTCATAGCAGTTTGGGTCTCAAAAGCTGCTAAAGTCCTTATGCAGGATTTATACAGCTCTCCGCAAGATCCCCTTCTCTCTCCCACAAATCCCCTTCCCGGGAATATGCAACGGCACATTCCTCACCTTCATTTCACCCAGAGACATGCCGAAACAGCCGGCAGCCACCAAAACCAGCAGGCTTGTTTAGTTAGGTTGAGCTGCTAGCTAGCATTAAAATTCATCTCACGGACTGGGATAATTACAGCAGCTTCCTCCTGGAAAGACATCCTCTTTCCAAAGGTGCTTGGGCTGCTCTACTTTTCAGCAGGGCTCTGTCAAACGTGTGCGCTTTGAAGCTGTTGACAGGAAGGGTAGGGGGAGGCAATGGGCTAGGAGATCAGGATCTGGTATGTCGACTAGGCACTGTCTGAACTATTCACCTCATTGCTCTGGGGGATGGAAGGAGAGTTGTACATAAGACGTGAATCTGGTCCCACCAGAGCTATTGGGAGCAGGATTAGAATCTATCTCCGGGGAGCGCACAAATCTACCTCAGACTCTTCTCTCCCTGCTCCACAGGAACTAATGGCCTGATGACACTCTCTACATGAGCGGCATTTACATCAGCGAACCCAACTTCCAACATCCCTTCAGCATATCTAGGTGTGCAGCTGATAAGGTTCACGCTATCTAGCTAAGCATTTGAGTGCACGCATGATTGGTATTTTGGTGCCAGGTTAGATATCAGGATGATAGACCTCCCCCCCAGAAATACCTCAGACAGAAAGAAATAAAATCTCTGCCTATCAGTGTACACCTGATATGGAGGCTGCTTAAGACCCAGCCCCTGAAGGGTCCAATCCTGCAAGGTGCTTGAGCCTTCAATTCTGGGTTTTGAAGGTGCAGGATCAAGCCCTATGTGCTGCCAGACCTCTCTGAAGAGCACTTGAAAAACCCTGTGAAGCAGAATCCCATTCCTGGCACCCAGGGGCCATGAGTGGCAGGGCAAAAGCTTAGAAACAGGACTTGGGTTGAAGATATCAGACTGGATATAAGGCGTACATTTTTAATGGTGACAGTAAATAGCCACTGGAGCAATTTACCAAGGGTTGTGGTGGAGTCTCCATCACTGACAATTTTTACATCAAATTGGAGGTTTTTCTAAACACTTTGCTCTAGGGATTACTTTGGGGCAGTTCTCTGGCCTGGGTTACACGGGGGGGGGGGTGTCTGTGTGTGTCAGACTAGATGATCACAGTGGTCCAGTCTGGCCTTGGAATCTATGAATTTTCACTCTCCGTCAGGCATAAGGCTGCAGATCTGGAGCCAAAGCCTGTCTCAGTTACACCCATGCACTCCCCAAAGATGTTCACATGGCAGTAACTCAGGACAGAACACTGTCGTGTAACGGAACACCCAGCCAAATAAGACCATGACTGCCCAACAAGCCAGCTGATAAGTTCATTAAATCAAAATGATTGCAAAGGGGGGATGAGTTATGAGTTAAAAATAGGCATTGAGGCCAACCCGAGGAGGAGGAGGAGAAATTATTGAGCACATGATGTTCTCTTTATGAGCTAAAAGATTCCCGCCCAGGAGACTACAGGGATTAAGCAGGAGCCCACAGTCTGATATTAGCTGAGTGGCCACTATGTGAGCTATGAGAAGTGGCTGGTTATGGTGCATAAGGCTTTCTGGACAATACATCGACCTGAGCATGCTTCTGCAGACAAGCTGCAACCATTGGGGGAGGGGAAGGGGAAGATAAGTACATTCCTCCCCACCCAATCTTTTTACCTTTCTTCGTGAGGTCCTCAGTGTAACTGCAGGACTCATGCATTTTCCCTTCTGGCTCCCAGACACCCACTGACACCACCCCCCAGGTCCTACTGCATTGACTCAGGGCTGGTTGACAGCAAGAGGAATTGGATCAAACTCCTCCTGGCTACAAAGTTGCCTGGGAATCCCTGCGCCTGAAATCACAGTCTGAAGGGATGACTGGCAGCTATGCTTCATGAAGGGGCTTCACAAAAACAGCAACACCAAGGGCAGCAGCTGGGGAGACCAGAAACTAACCACATCCGGACACAGCTTCCGTGCTTCTGTGTGTGTGTGTGTATATGTGTCCTTCTGAAAGATGATCCCAACACTCCCCACAAAGCAAGCAATGCCGCAACGTGGTCAGACAGGGTACATGCAGGGGGCAGCGCAGGCTGAGTACCTCTCTACAGGATGCTGGCTGTGGCTGGCTGACTGTGTTGTACCCAGATATGATCCCATCGTTCTATACTCTTCCTGTTATAGGTTCTTGGGCCCCATGTCCTCTCTAGAGCAGACTCTAACAATCCCCTAGTTCACCTTCTGAACAAAGCGCGACCACTACATTAAAGACAGGGCCTATTAAGGGTGCTACAGGGTTTAATCCTACGGAGACGCTGGCAATTGCAGCCATCAGACAATCTCTTATTTCCTAGCATTAATGCCCAAAACAATGAGAGTCACAGTGGCAACCTGCCTGGAGCCTGAGGAACACACCTAATTTCCTTACAATGGAGCAGACGGCAGCTCCTGCATCTTTAATGTGGAGATACTGCCCATGAATACGGCAGGTACGTGGATCAATAAACACCATTGTGTGCTGGGACTGGCCTCTGTATTAAAGATGGGGCCACAGCATGGTAGAACTCTGCAGGCCATATTTGATTTCTCGTGGGGAGTGGGCCAGGCACTCCCAGGCTTACGTCTTTCCACGGTTAGCCCTACCTTGTCGGCGAGGCACTCCGACTCCTCCGGGAGGAGGTACACAGCCCCACTTTCAGCCAGCAAGATGGCGGTGTCTGTGGCAGATGAAGACCTTGGCCGGCCCTGGTGCTGATGCAGTATGGCTGTGAGGCTACTATCCTGGGGAGCCTTCCGGACCAGATGGGGGCTGCCTTTCTGGGGATCAAGGGAGCTGCTTTTGCTCCGGCGGCTGCCGCTGTGCAAGCTGCTCCCTCTCTTGATGGATGGGCGGGAGCGGATCTGCTGCAGCACCCTGTTGAAGGCAGTGGGGCGTACAGGGAGGTCGTGGAGGGACATGGCATAGGAGACACGGTGCATCTCTGGCGAGCGTTCCTTCTCATCAGGGGAGTCGTGGTCAGACATCCCGTAGTGCTGCGACAGAGAGTCCTGGGAGTTCTGGTGCTCTCGTTCCCGCGACCTGCGGCGACTGTGGAAAAGGTGCTTCAGGCCATGGCCAAACATGGAGCCTTCGGAGAGCTGCTGTATTTTCTGTGACAGAGGAGAGAAAACAAAGCACACGACCCACTATTATTATACCCTGGATTGTATGTCCCTGCTTTTAATCAGTCCATATACAGCAGCTAGATAGTACGGTGACGGAATGACAGATGAAAAATACCCTTTAATGACATTACAGCCCTGGGGCCAAATTGTCCACTGGGGTAAAGTGGTGCAACTTCAGTGAAATCCACTAAATAACACTGGGATCGGGTAAAAGAAGACACTGCTTCCCTGCTTGGCTGGAGGGCTTTCAGAAGGCTGGGACTGTGTTGAACCTGGGCACTTCAGCATGTGCTTTAGAAAGATCTCACTGCTTACAGCAGTTCCTTGCAGCATGCAGGCACAACAACCTGAATGAAGGCTGGTGTGGCAGCTGTAACTCCACATCTCTGTGTTCTTCCCACTCAGGTTTTTCTTTTGCATGTCAGTTTCCCCAAGCCCCCTATTTTTGCAGTTCTTTTCTGCCCTCCTTGCCTTTCAACCAGGATCCCTCTTCTCCCCATCCTGGGATGTCAAACCAACCAGATCCTAATGTTAGTGCCTTTCCCTTTGTCCAGTTCCCCATTGCACCCTTGAACCCCTCCTTCTTTTAGCAGAACATTACCATTGCCTCCCTCACTCGCACTATGCCATGGAGGTTCTGTTGCTTATCTCTGCTGGCAGAAGGGACCACCCTGCTCTTCCCAGATAACAGGTGCTAAGCTCTGCAGGCCTGTGAGAAGAACATGCCAGAGTCCCGTGAATAGCAGCACGCAGTGCTGCTATTGCCAAGCCTCCAGACCAGTTCAGGCTGCAGACATTTAAGTCAAACCTAGCTCTGATACACCTTGCAGGGGCCAGGGAGGAGTTAACTCCTCTAGCTACCAGATACTGCATTGCACAACAGGCATTCTGGGCAGAGAGATTCTCCTTCCTTTGAAGCACTACACATTGGCCACCATGGGAGGCAGGATATTGGCCTTGCTAGACTGATGGCCCTATACGCTTATGTAACAGCACCAACAGTCAGGGAGGGCAGCGTTGTGGTGCGGCAAGCGCGCCAGCCGCTGACTGTTCAGTAGACTTCGCTCTCATAGAAAGGAGCCAGTGACGATTCAAGATGAGGCAAGGTTATGGAAGAAGAGAGGCCAGAAACAATGTGGCATCTCTCTATAAAGATGACAAGGACACACGGTGAGTCGCAGCTCCACTCCGCTCAGCTGTGAATGGCTCCGATAGGATGTTCACTTCCTGTTAGGTTTCAGAGGAACAGCCGTGTTAGTCTGTATTCGCAAAAAGAAAAGGAGTACTTGTGGCACCTTAGAGACTAACCAATTTATTTGAGCATGAGCTTTCGTGAGCTACAGCTCACTTCATCAGATGTTTACCGTGGAAACTGCAGCAGACTTTATATACACACAGAGAATATGAAACAATACCTCCTCCCACCCCACTGTCCTGCTGGTAATAGCTTATCTAAAGTGATCAACAGGTGGGCCATTTCCAGCACAAATCCAGGTTTTCTCACCCTCCACCCCCCCACACAAATTCACTCTCCTGCTGGTGCTAGCCCATCCAAAGTGACAACTCTTTACATAGTCAAGTCGGGCTATTTCCTGCATAGATCCAGGTTTTCTCACATCCCCCCCCACCCCCATACACACACAAACTCACTCTCCTGCTGCTAATAGCTCATCTAAACTGACCACTCTCCAAGTTTAAATCCAAGTTAAACCAGAACATCTGGGGGGGGGGTAGGAAAAAACAAGAGGAAACAGGCTACCTTGCATAATGACTTAGCCACTCCCAGTCTCTATTTAAGCCTAAATTAATAGTATCCAATTTGCAAATGAATTCCAATTCAGCAGTTTCTCGCTGGAGTCTGGATTTGAAGTTTTTTTGTTTTAAGATAGCGACCTTCATGTCTGTGATTGCGTGACCAGAGAGATTGAAGTGTTCTCCGACTGGTTTATGAATGTTATAATTCTTGACATCTGATTTGTGTCCATTTATTCTTTTACGTAGAGACTGTCCAGTTTGACCAATGTACATGGCAGAGGGGCATTGCTGGCACATGATGGCATATATCACATTGGTGGATGTGCAGGTGAACGAGCCTCTGATAGTGTGGCTGATGTTATTAGGCCCTGTGATGGTGTCCCCTGAATAGATATGTGGGCACAATTGGCAACGGGCTTTGTTGCAAGGATAAGTTCCTGGGTTAGTGGTTCTGTTGTGTGGTATGTGGTTGTTGGTGAGTATTTGCTTCAGATTGCGGGGCTGTCTGTAGGCAAGGACTGGCCTGTCTCCCAAGACTTGTGAGAGTGTTGGGTCATCCTTTAGGATAGGTTGTAGATCCTTAATAATGCGTTGGAGGGGTTTTAGTTGGGGGCTGAAGGTGACCGCTAGTGGCGTTCTGTTATTTTCTTTGTTAGGCCTGTCCTGTAGTAGGTAACTTCTGGGAACTCTTCTGGCTCTATCAATCTGTTTCTTTACTTCTGCAGGTGGGTATTGTAGTTGTAAGAAAGCTTGACAGAGATCTTGTAGGTGTTTGTCTCTGTCTGAGGGGTTGGAGCAAATGCGGTTGTATCGCAGAGCTTGGCTGTAGACGATGGATCGTGTGGTGTGGTCAGGGTGAAAGCTGGAGGCATGCAGGTAGGAATAGCGGTCAGTAGGTTTCCGGTATAGGGTGGTGTTTATGTGGCCATCGTTTATTAGCACTGTAGTGTCCAGGAAGTGGATCTCTTGTGTAGAAGCCCTCTACACCAACATTCCACACAAAGATGGACTACAAGCCGTCAAGAACACTATCCCCGATAATGTCACGGCTAACCTGGTGGCTGAACTTTGTGACTTTGTCCTTACCCATAACTATTTCACATTTGGGGACAATGTATACCTTCAGATCAGCGGCACTGCTATGGGTACCCGCATGGCCCCACAGTATGCCAACATTTTTATGGCTGATTTAGAACAACGCTTCCTCAGCTCTCGTCCCCTAAAGCCCCTACTCTACTTGCGCTATATTGATGACATCTTCATCATCTGGACCCATGGAAAAGAAGCCCTTGAGGAATTCCACCATGATTTCAACAATTTCCATCCCACCACCAACCTCAGCCTGGTCCAGTCCACACAAGAGATCCACTTCCTGGACACTACAGTGCTAATAAATGATGGCCACATAAACACCACCCTATACCGGAAACCTACTGACCGCTATTCCTACCTACATGCCTCCAGCTTTCACCCTGACCACACCACACGATCCATCGTCTACAGCCAAGCTCTGCGATACAACCGCATTTGCTCCAACCCCTCAGACAGAGACAAACACCTACAAGATCTCTGTCAAGCTTTCTTACAACTACAATACCCACCTGCAGAAGTAAAGAAACAGATTGATAGAGCCAGAAGAGTTCCCAGAAGTTACCTACTACAGGACAGGCCTAACAAAGAAAATAACAGAACGCCACTAGCGGTCACCTTCAGCCCCCAACTAAAACCCCTCCAACGCATTATTAAGGATCTACAACCTATCCTAAAGGATGACCCAACACTCTCACAAGTCTTGGGAGACAGGCCAGTCCTTGCCTACAGACAGCCCCGCAATCTGAAGCAAATACTCACCAACAACCACATACCACACAACAGAACCACTAACCCAGGAACTTATCCTTGCAACAAAGCCCGTTGCCAATTGTGCCCACATATCTATTCAGGGGACACCATCACAGGGCCTAATAACATCAGCCACACTATCAGAGGCTCGTTCACCTGCACATCCACCAATGTGATATATGCCATCATGTGCCAGCAATGCCCCTCTGCCATGTACATTGGTCAAACTGGACAGTCTCTACGTAAAAGAATAAATGGACACAGATCAGATGTCAAGAATTATAACATTCATAAACCAGTCGGAGAACACTTCAATCTCTCTGGTCACGCAATCACAGACATGAAGGTCGCTATCTTAAAACAAAAAAACTTCAAATCCAGACTCCAGCGAGAAACTGCTGAATTGGAATTCATTTGCAAATTGGATACTATTAATTTAGGCTTAAATAGAGACTGGGAGTGGCTAAGTCATTATGCAAGGTAGCCTGTTTCCTCTTGTTTTTTCCTACCCCCCCCCCCAGATGTTCTGGTTTAACTTGGATTTAAACTTGGAGAGTGGTCAGTTTAGATGAGCTATTAGCAGCAGGAGAGTGAGTTTGTGTGTGTATGGGGGTGGGGGGGATGTGAGAAAACCTGGATCTATGCAGGAAATAGCCCGACTTGACTATGTAAAGAGTTGTCACTTTGGATGGGCTAGCACCAGCAGGAGAGTGAATTTGTGTGGGGGGGTGGAGGGTGAGAAAACCTGGATTTGTGCTGGAAATGGCCCACCTGTTGATCACTTTAGATAAGCTATTACCAGCAGGACAGTGGGGTGGGAGGAGGTATTGTTTCATATTCTCTGTGTGTATATAAAGTCTGCTGCAGTTTCCACGGTAAACATCTGATGAAGTGAGCTGTAGCTCACGAAAGCTCATGCTCAAATAAATTGGTTAGTCTCTAAGGTGCCACAAGTACTCCTTTTCTCTTTCCACTTCCTGTTAGCATCACAGCTCTGTGGCTCCACAAAACATCTGTTCCTGCACTTTCACTAGAGCTGGAATGCACCAAAGACTAGTCAAGGTGGTTCAGTGCTCAGTAATACTTAACAGCTAGCACTTACCCAGTCCCTTATGAACTTCTCCTAAGTAAGCCGCAGTGGGCATCTCTGCAGCACTAATCCCATTTCACAGGAAGGATGAGCAAGAGGGAAAAAGGCTACCCGGCTCTCCCAAAGCAACAGAGGGCATAAGGATCAGAGCTGGGATTAGAATGCCACAGTCCCGATTCCCAGCCCTAGACTCAGGTATAAAGTCATGGCTTATTTCCGCGCAATGTATAAGACAGTGGCTGCTCTGTAAAGTCCCACCGAGGTTCCCACCCTGGCTTTGTGCATACTGCCGGTAGCG